TTAGTTACACATGATAGATCTAAGAATAATAGAGAGAAAATAGGTTGGAGGCGTTCTGGTACGTTCTAGGGTTTTAAAAGATGTATTTATAGTTGTTGCCATAGGTGGTTGACTTAAATTAGGAAATCAAAATTTTTTCCCCGATTTGGCCTGGATGGGCGCCCAGTAGAAAATGGGGTGGCCACACAGGCATAAATATTGACTTCTATTAATGAAGTTTAGGGTTGGGCGGCCTAATTGAGCGGCCATAGGTGTTTTGGTCATATTTTCCTCTCCTGATATTCGATTGAGTAGATGCGTTACAAAGCTAACCCAAAGGGCTACAACTTTATTTCAGATACTATCTTCCAATTCGATTGTTTGCTATGTCAAAAATGGGTCTCAAACTGAGACTGAAAATCCATTGCATAACTTTTCAATTGGAAATTGATGTGTGATCCTACTTTGATGATATTTCACCCTTTTGACTTCTTTCTTCATTCAATTGACTTCTAACACTCTAAAATTTTCATCATTTGATTCGACACAACTTTGTGTATTTTCACGTTAGTTCTTGAACTTTCATTTCCTTTCACTTTGGTCATTTTTCATCTATTTCTTCCAAATTATATCATCTCCATTGAATTGCCACCTAAATCAAAATATTACGTAATGAGTACATTTTGGTATTAATTAATCATACGAGCACATAAAATAAGGAGGGAAAAATATGCATTTTGCATTCCTATCACCCATCACATAAGTATCATTTACTAACATACATCTCATTCTTAGTGAGTACAAATGTATCAGATACAAATACAAATTTAAAGCAGTTTTTGCTAAATAGAGACATGGACACAAGATTCTTGAGAATGCTAGTACATGTAGAACATTGTTGAAGACAAGCTCTTTCCTGAAGTCATCTTCAAAATAACCTTCAATTGCTCTTCAACCTTTGAACTTGCAGAATTTCTCATGACGAGTTGTTCTCCACTTAGTTCTTTGTAGTTTAAAAATGTAATCTTGTCTGCACAAATGTAGTGGTAGCACCAGTATCGACCTACCATTCCCTTGGATTACCAACATTGTTGCATTTAAAAAAAATCGCAGACAAATTCATCTCTTGTACCCCTCCAAATGGGGTATCTCTTCACTCACATTTGCTTATGCGTTCTTCTTAGACTTTCGACATTCGTTAGAGCGATGTTTCCTTCTCCACAATTGTAGAAGTTTCCTTTGAACTTCTTGATATTCTTTGAGTTGTCTCTCTTTTGTGCATCACCTGATACCTTACGCTTTTTGTTTATTGTCGAACCAGATTCCACAAAGTTTTCTCCAAGTTGAATAATAAACTTCCTTTCGGTTTTTCTGTTGTCTTCTTGAATTCTCAAATGGACTATTAATTCCTCCAAGTTCATCTCTTTGTATTTGTCTTCAAATAGTTTTTGAAATATCTCTATAAAGGTGAGAGTTTCTCGATGATAGAAGCAACTTGGAAAGATTCACTCAAATCCACATGAATTTCATGAAATAGAACATGTAGTTCTTACACTTGACTAATAACGATTTTGGACTCTATCATCTTGTAATCAAGGAACTTCTGATAATGATCTTCTTCGTGTCGGCGTCCTCCTTTTTGTACTTTTTTTCCAAAGAATCCCAAAGTTCATTGGCCGATTTCATAGCACTATACACTCCATAAAGTGTATTGTCCAATCCATTTATGACGTAGTTTTCGCAAAGGAAATTCGAGTGCTTCCATGCATCCAACACAATAATCGACTCACAATTATTTTTCCCTTCTTGTACAGTTGGAGGGGTTTCAATTAAGAACTTTGTCAAATTCAAAGTGATGAGATAAAACATCTTTTGTTGTCATTTCTTAAAGTCCATTCCTTCAAATTTCTCCATTTTTTTCCTATGTGGAATTAGAGTATTTTGAAGTGGTGTATCCATAGGAGGAACAACATTTATTTGTTGTTTGACTCGAAATAGTCTCAATGGTATTCATAAACAGAAGTTCAACACAAGTAAAATTTCAAGAAAGGAATAGCACAAATGCTTATTCCAAAGGATGAAGAGAATGGTTTTCATCCAACAAAACAACAAACTAAAATTTGTCTTAAGATTGTTGGGGGATATGTTATAATGTTGCTTTGTATGTGGATAACAAAAGGACAAGTTTAACAATGCAGGAACGAAGTTAAACAGAGTAACAACTTGGTATAAATCAAAAGTAGATATGAAGAAGAAGAATGGATGAAAGGATCCGAAGCAAGATATAACACTCTTTCTTTAAAACAAATTTGCCCCGAACAGTGCTAACGGAGTAATGGCAATTGTTTCCCAAAATGCAACAAATTACTTCCTTGAACTAGAAGCACTTCAAATTACAAAGCAACCACGAACTTGAACATATTTTTTCTCACTACAAAGAATGATTTTGAATGCAAACTTAACCAATTTCATCTCTTTTTCAACCAAATTCCAACAAAGGCAGCTTTCTAGGGTGTGAATCAAACCCTAATTTGAAATGGCCACTCGTTTGTTTTTTGTAATTTGAGATACATGGAGAAAGAAGTGTGGAGCTTTTGGGAGTTTGACGATTTAGGGTTCAAATTTACATCCTAGAGGGTCATCGGTATAATTCTCATATCTTTCTTAATAGAATTTACAGGGCCTGCTAGGCCACTTACACTGGCGGGCCCCACATGTTTTAAACCCCCCTCCCCCAGTCCTGTACGTGTATCATCACTGTTCTTAATAACATGTTGATTAAATTAATGTGTATTATTTGATAAAAAAAATTACAATGTGATTATTCTTGCTTCCACTTATTTTTCTTAAAAATGGTTTTTAAAACCAACGTGGAGTTACTAAAGGAGTGAAAGTTAACTAGTACGCAGTATTGGCTTACGCTATACGATCAGTAGTTGACTTTACATCAGAGGCTCTGTCCAAATGCGTTTAGATTTCTGATGACTAAGTTTTGGGTTGTTGAAATGAAATTCTTTCTAGTTTCAAGATATTACTATTNTTTTTTTTTTTTTTTTAATCACGGTCCAGCTTTAATTGAATTGACTTAATTTTCGCTTACGTTTGATGTTTTATGTGACAAATTCTCAAATTACTACAAGTTATTTTTTGCTCGAAGATGTAGAAAATTGAAATTGTGAGCAACTCTCCGGGTTCATTCGAATTTGAGGCACTACGCTAGACAAAAAATTGATTTTGTCGAAGTGGTACTTCTCTTTCGGTCAGAGAGTACTCGACTTCTACTTGATCCAGATCAAGAACTGTAACCAAAAATGTGTCAACATTGTGTTGGTCTTGTTTACATGCCATACCCACCAAATGTGCAAATGTCGTAACGCTAGCAATCTGGTCAAACTATGCAAATTGTTATGGACCCTTCTTTGGTAAAGTACCAATTTCGGTAGGTTAA